TGCAAGAGTAGCAGTGCTCTTAGCTGCTGACCCAATTCTTCAGCCTCTGTCCTTTTTCCAGCTGTTTGTCTTTCTTCATTCAAATTTCTAACCTGCCTTTGCTCAGTCTGTCCTTGTCTGGTTCCAGTGCTATGGTATATGTCTCTTCTTCCGTCATATGCTGTATGACCTTTCGAGGACAGCCAGTCCTACTTTCTAGCTGACTCCCTCTTCGTCACCAATAGTTCAGTCCAGGAGACATCAGTCTCTGACCCCCTGCAACTGCCTACTCATTGGTCTGCTCGGATTATCTCCTCCCCTCTGACCACCTACTCGCTGCAGAGCAGCCAATGTTCTTTCTGCAATAGGCACAGTCTAATGCCAACCTCTCACTTCAAATCCTTTAGCAGCTTTCAGAGGAAGAGCAAACTGACTTCTCCAAACTTTGAGCACCATGTCTATACCAGCATGGCTCCTATTTGGTTATTCTTCCTTGGTTCTGGGAATCAGGAGCCAAATCCGTGTCCTTCACGGTGGAGCAGTGAGCCTGCTTCCTCCAGGATGGTGAATCATGATTGACAATATCACTCAGGATGGGAGGGTCCACTTCTCTTGATAGTGATTGGTTTATGAGTAACACTTGATGAAAATCTGGTTAGTAAAAATCCTATGTGGGGGTGGAGATGGCTCAATGGTTAGAGACACTTGCCGATTACCTAGACAATCTGGGTTCAGTTCCTAGAGCCTACATCAGGTGACCACACACACACACACACTCAAAAGTTTAGTCAAAAGATGAATAGTACAACAGGTCCTTGATGACCCTTGAGCTGTCTCCCAGGGATCCTCACTGTGGGACAATAAGTCTATTCTCATTTCAATGTTTCTGAGTTGGGTTTTCTACCTTCCATCTTCCTGGTAAGGGACTCAGGTATGTTAGCTTTCTTCTGCTTTTTGGAAGGAGCACATTCTTATAAAAGATTCCCTCTAGCTATCACCCTGTGTGCCCTCCCCATGCCCAGCTAGTGTCCATTCCTGAATAGCTGATGTTCTCTCCACTATAGGAGGCTTCCTGATGGCACCGATAAGAGTTTGAAGTGATGGTTGGATGCCTTTACTGCCCCACGGATACTTGCCTCTCAGTTTGGCCCCACAGCTCCCCAAAAGCCGTGAACAAGTGATACTGCCCAGTGCTGTTCGCCCTCCTCCTGTGCTGGTCACAAAGCTGAGGCCATGGGCCCATGGCTCAGCTCCCTAAGGCCCTGGAAGAGGGACAGTCACCATACAGGTGACTCCAATGGCTTCACCCGAAACTGACTAACAGGGATCATTTCAGAGTAGGTTGGAGGCAAGTGTTCCGGAGATGACAGTGTGCCCAGCAATAAGTGAGAGGTGAAAGACATCATACTTTTAAGCCTGAAAGGGCTAGGGGAGGGTGCAGGCTTTTAGAATCTGGAGAGAAAGATGGGGACTCTCTGAAAGTCACCTGGCCGTGGCCATAAGCCAGGCCAGGCCGCTCTCTCATAGCCATAGGAAGGAAGCCAGGATCCTGCTGTTTTTCTGACATCTACTGAAAGCCAGAGGGTAAGAGGTCTGGTGGCCTTAAGGTCAACTCTCTGGAGCACAGCAAGGCTGTGGAAGGACACATGCAGCTCTGGGGCTAGTGATTATCCCAAACAGGCACAAAGGCTGTGTCGCTACTCACTTCAGCACACCTATTTCCTTTAAAAAAAAAAAAAATTAAATTTGACCACAGGGCAGACTGTGAGTACAGTGAACTTCAATACCTCTAATCAGGGCCAGAAAGGGCAGCAAGGAACCCACTGTGCTCCCTTCCTCCTGGGAGCCACTGCCCAGCTGCAATCAGACCCTCTCACTTCCAGTCTGGCTCAGACTCCAGTCAGTGCCTCTTTCAGTTCTAGGGGCACTCCCGTTTTTAGAAACCCTCAATCACCCATATTTTTCCCACTACCACCTGACTCTTCCACTCATTTGCTCCAGTGCCTCTGATAAGCTAGCTTTTAGCCCTTCACCCCTCCTAACAGTTCTTGCCACAATAGCCCCTTGATTGAAAAATTCAGAGGACTTTACTGCTTATTTTTCTGAGATCCGGGCGTATGCTGGGTTGATTACTTTCTCCTTGAAACCCTTCACAACCTTGGTTGCCATGGCAACTCCCTCTTCTAGTTGTTCCTCACATCACTCAGGCCTTTCCTCTCTTTCTTCTTTGTTGCTGGTCCACACCTCCATCAGCCCCTCGAGTGTCACTGACTCTGATTTCCCCCACTAGGTGCCTTCCCACCCTTTCCCTGCGAGTCCACTCATTCCTCAGATTCTCTCCCTTCTACCTCCATCCCTGGGCTGGTCCTTTCTAGACCCTGGGTGGGACACCATACCTGTGGTCACCTAGTTGTGCCCCTGTCCTCAGCTCTGCCTGACACTGAACCCACTGGGACCTTCCTCTGCCCCATGTCCTGTGCTCCAGCTCTATCGCCTTCATTGTCCACCAATGCCCCCCTCCCCTGCCGTCCCAGACTCTTACCACAATATCCAACTATTGGGGTACACTGCTGACTTTATGCTCTGAATTGGGGACTATCATCACCAAGTTGCCACCAGAGTGACCTTCCCAAATCACAGACCTGTCGCTGTGGTGGGAAACCCTTCATGGTCCCACTGACTGTAGGACAGTGACCAGATGTCTTCACATGATGTCATGAGGCCCTCCAGGGGTCTGGGCTCTGCCTGCTTAGCCCCATGAATCTCATTTTGTTTTCCTTCCACTTTCCAGGACTACGGCAGTCTTGAAATTCTCTTGTTCCGACGGTGGCGTTGAATGTGCTGCTCCCTCTGCCTACAGTGTCTTCCCAGTTCCTTTACCTTACGTCTATCTGCTCATTTTAAAGAAGCCAGACCAATAATCTAACCTGGGATGTTCTGTGCCGTACAAATGTCCCACTATTGCACTTTGCATGTGGTATCGTAATAGTCCGCTTAGGTGCTGAGTAGTGTAGTATTGTTTTATATATTACTTGATGATCGGCCTGTTCCTTGTCAGTTTTTGCTTTGGTGTGTAACAAGATGCCCCAAACTTCCATGGAAACGTACATGTAAAGGCTCTGAGGCTTACAGAGCTGAGCGGAGTACCAGCTGCATGGGATGGCAGCAGGGCTGTAGTCCTCTGAAGGTTTGATGGGACGTAGTGTCCAAGAGGCTCAGCAGAACAAGGCACATCCCCAAGCTACCTCCGCATGGTCCACCACGTGGGTTCCAAAATCAAGCTGCTTTTATGACCCTGTGTCACCATTCCAGACCATCCTTTCTGCCACATAGTGTTGGCCAAGAGGACACTAAAGCAATCCTACTTCATCAGGAAGAACCTTCTCAATGGTGGACCATAAACATATAAGGTGGGCAGGGACAGTGGCCACCTCTGCAGGCTGGACAATGGGCTCTGGCATTCTCTCCTGAGTTCTGAAGAAGACATGGATGCCATGGGAGCTGCAGTCTTCCGAACCCCGCAGCAAGGAAGGCATCTGGTTAATGGCTGGGTATTACGAGGAAATTAGGTATTAGGCGGCATGGGGCCACAGAGCTGCTCAGCCAGCCAAGTGCTTACCGTTGACTCGAGGACCTGAGCTGGATCTCCAGCACCCTCAAAGCCTGGGCAAGGCAGACTGGTTTGTAATTCCTGCACTGGGGAAGTAGAGATGGATAGATCCTGGTGGCTCACTGGCCAGTCAGCCTAGACTAATTAGTGAGCTCTGGGTCTCACTAAGAGACCCTGTATCAAAAAACCTCAGGTAGGTGGCTTCTAAACAACACTGCTTCAGGTTACCCTTTGGCTTGGGTGCATGTGCTAACACACTCTAAAAGATACATTCTGAAAGGGATGCACGTGAGCATCCTCTTTGCCTAAACGGAAATGTCTGCGTGACCAGTGGGAATGGGACCCTATGAGGCACGAGGAGCTGACCTAGAGCTTCTCAGGATAGGACTCACTGGATGACTAAGGGTCCTGAAGGAAGGTGACTGGTGAGGGCCTTCTGTTTGCCCAGCGAGCAAGCAATAAGGAGGGCACAGGGCAGTGCTGAGGGCTGCCTGTGATCACAAGAACAACAGTGGCTGGTGACACTATCCTAGCCCAGTGCACATCTCTAGGTCCAGAGCAAACAGAATCTCAGACGAGCTGTGGGGAAAAGGGCAGGCATGGTGGGAAGAAAGAAACTGGAAGTGGATGGAGGACAGTTAGGGGAAGTCTGGATGTTTTCTTGGAAGCAGCAAAGAGTGTGCCCTTGTGCAGAATGGTGTGATGGTGGGTTCTGGGGAGGCTCCCTCTCTGTGGCTCCTACTGGGTCATCTTCCACCTAACATTCTCCCTCTGCACAGCTGGCTCTGGCCTCCAGCTCTCCTCCACCCTCACTGGGATTCATTTTCTATCACGTGACCTGCCTTTATTGACCATCACTGTCCGGCCAGGTTCAGGCTGTCATAGGAGCACTAGGTTGGAATTCTGGGACTCACACCTGACGGGGATACAACTGCCTGGTACCGGTCCTGGGCTAGGCATTTTTGGGGTACTTTCTCTTTGGATCTGTGCTGAGGTGGGCACTGCTTCTTGGTTCATGGAGGAGGCTGGTGATGGATGTGACCCGAGGACACAGTGTCTCCTGCACAGGCTCTTCACAGCCGTGCCTTTTCTGAAAACAGGGTCTCATTATGGAACCCACTTTGGTCTTGAACTCACAGTTCTCCTGCCTTAGTCTCGTGAGTATGGTGCCTTTATTATGATCTTGAGTAATGTGAAACACTGGCATTTACCAAATCTACCAGTGCCATGAAGAGAGAAGCAGGAGGCCCAAGGAAGAGGGCTGGCCCACAGGGACATGGGCAGCAGGAGAGGAAAAGCCTCTTGTCTCTCACCCAGTGAGGGACTCCACTCCTTAAGGCTGTCTCCCAGGTCTAAAACTTCCTGTGTTAGGAAAGGTGCTTTCGACAGAACAGAACATCACATCTAGGAGTAGCTAAGAGCAAGAACATTTATTCAAGTGTGAACAATCCAGAAGTCAGTGGTTGCAGGTATGCTGGCTCAGAGTCAGCCGTCTCCTTCCCCTCCTGATCACAAGATGGCTGTCAGGATTCCAGGCTCCATGTTCTCACCCAGCAGCAGCACCTAGACAGAAAGGGAAGGGGAGCCCAAGAAAGCTGCCAGCACATCTCTGGTGAGAAAGCAAAGCAATGGCCCTGAAGCTATCCGTGCAAGTCCCACGACACTGAAATGAACTCACAGGAGGTCTCAAAACAGCACCAGCTATACCTTTTTCTTATCTGTAAGAATGACCACGTCCCGTGTGACAGACTAAGCTTTGAGGCCTTTAGAAACTACTCCCTAAGAGTTCCATGCCCACACACATTTAAAGTTTGATTCTGGTTATTGCTGACTGGTAAGGAATCTCTTTGTCTCTTTCTTCCTCATCCCACTGTTTGTCCACAGCTCTCAGTTTCCCCTGCTCCCCCGTCCCCCACTGCCACATCAGGATGCACATCAGGGAAGACATTCTGCAGCCCGAATAATCACTCAATGCAGAAACTACTGATGACAACATTCTGCATCCCTGTGGGTGCCTAGATACATATTTACAAGTTTTTTTTAAAGGTCTAGAAAAGTACACACCAAGCCCATCACAGAGGTGCCACAGAGACAAGGACGGGAACGGGATGGAAGCAGGTGGCCAGAGGGACTTCAGCTCCAGCAGTGGAGCTCTGTTCTTAAACAGGAGGATGTATTCATGTTTCCCTTGTGTCATTAAACTTTAATTTGAAAAAAATTCCCATTCATTTTCAGCCAATTACGCTGGCTCTGTGCTTGGCTGTGTTTGCATGTTTGTGCCCAGGGAGAGAGAACATTTACTTTGTGTGTGTCTGTGAATGAAGTGCAGCGATTAGAAAGTAGATTAAAAAGAAATGTAGCCAACAAAAGCCAAACAAAACAGGAGGGGAGTAGAGAAAACTCATTCACAACAATCATGGAAACCAAAGATAGCAAGCCAGAAGGAAAGCCACAAATTTCCGAGGAGAAAGCTGTGTGTGTCTGTGTGTGTGTCTGTGTGTGTAAGACATGTGGGGACTGGACAAACAGAGTTCTGCCTCATTCTTGCAGTGAATGACACAGTATTGTACTGACGTCAGTTTCCCCCAAATTCATCTCTGAATTCACAGTATCTGACAAGCAACTTTTAGAGTCTGTGTGGAGAGGAGCAGGCTGAGACAGCTGGAAGGAAGTACAGTGAAATGTGGCATTTTACTTCACAGATATCACAAGGTGGTAAAAAGTAACAGTGAAATAAATTCTGCTACTGACAGGAATAAACAGATTAGTTAAAAAAAAAACTAAACAAAACCAAAACAAACGGGGGGGGGGCCGGAGTCTAGGGAAAGCAACACAGGATGAAACGAGCGGATGTGTTCTATTGTGCTCCGATAACTGGCTGTCCATTTTGAGAAAGGTTAGACACTGTCTCAATTCAATCATAGACATATATTCCAGATATAAGACAGAGCCAAGAGCGAGAGCTGTGAGATCATTAGCAGAGAATGCAAGCCCCACTTAAACCAAACATGATACACATTCAAAAGGAACAGAGGAGGCGGGGGAGGGGGGAGGAATCGGATTTGATCAAAATGGGCAACTTCTGTCTAATGGAAGCAAGATTGTACAAAGAGCAGACATGCTCGCTCGGAGGAGTGTTTGTCCAAAAGCAGGAAGGCTTCCTGTCTGGATTACATCAGGACAGTCTACAGGTCACTGAGCTGAGGGTCTTGGTAAGAACTGAGAGTTCAGAGTGGGAATCATACAGACACCCAATGTACACATGAAAACCCCACTGTTGAACAGGAAAATACACATTTAAAAAGGGATTTAACTTTTTCACCCATCCAATTGGCAAACATTGAGAACTGTTCCCAGTGTAGGGATTAAAGTCTCATGGCCTCTGGCTAGACACTTGCCTGGGTCAGAAACCATGGCAGGCCCTGGTGAAGTCTGCTAAAACTGAAACCGTGCATTCCACTTCGCTATCACTGCTGAGAGAAGGCTGCTCAAAACAGAGTAGAGACAAACAGCCAACTGACGGCGGAGTCTGGAGATGGAGGATGAGGGCTGAGGGAATGGGTGTTCCTCTGTGTTAAAGAACAACATCAGGGATCACCATGGCAGTGTTGTAAAGATACTAGAGGGAGTCAAGACACAGCCTCAGGCAAGCTCTCAGCATGCTGGACCCTTCCAAAGCACTGCATGCCCTAGAAGCAGATCCACAGAGCTGTGGAGGGACAGGACCCAGAACTTGAGCACAGGAGACAGCAGCTGGGCTCATGTCACTCCACCTCTAACAGGGAGAATGGATTCATGCTTTGCTTCCTTGATTAAAGTGTAATTTGGAAAGATTCTAATTTGTTTTCAGCTAATTATGCCAGCTCTGTGTTTAGTGGTGCCTGTGTGTTTGAGCCCAGGGAGGAAGAATGTTTACTTTGTGTGTGTGCAGAACGAGCTCCCAGATTAGTGAAAGGTAGGGATGCGGCATGGGGAACACGGGTCAGGGGAGCCATCCTGAGCTGCTAGAAACCCTGTACAAAGACTGAGGGTCAAATCCACCAAGAAACAGAAGGCAAGCTGACCCAGAGGAAGCAGGCATCTTTTCTGGAGGGACGAGATGCTTTCTGGGCTGGGAGGGCTCTGGAGCACACGGGAAAAAGAGGCCAACTTCCTTCAGATTTATCTGTGAGTTCAGTGTAACACCAACAAAATTTCCTATAGAACATTCTCTTGAAAGCTGATAATTTTTAAAATTCATGCAGTAGGACTAATGCATAAAGATGAAGAAAGTAGTTCTGCAAAGCAACAGAGGACAGGTTGGCTGGTCCTACCCTTAGCAAAGCTTAGCATTAAGCCTGGGAGCACAGACTCAGAGGACCAGGGCTGCCCTGACAAGCACAGGGCAGGCAGGGTGGGTGCCAGGTAAGGGGAATAGGTTTAGCTGAAACATTCCACAAAATAGTGCTGTGTGTGTGTGTGACGTGAGATGGTAAGAATCGTGTATATGGGATCTATTCTTTTACATGATTATACATTTACAAACTACATATAAACATAAATATACATGTAATATATATTTATAAATATAGATGCCAGAGAAGAAAATACAAGAAACTAATATAAAGGAGGCTTCTTAAGATTGTCAAAAGGAGGTGTAAAAAGTAAAACCAGTAGACAACTGTTATCAAAACCTTAAACTTTCTAAAAGCAATTCAATGAAGTGTCAAACCCCACAATGTAGAAAAATATTTGCCACTACCAACAAAGCATTAGTATATCAAGTAAATAAAATACATGAGGAATTAAAAATCAATAAAAGATCAAACATCTCTAAAAGAAAAAAAATAGGTAGAATATAGCATCATACCCATAATCCCAGTATCCAGGAGGCTGAGGAATACAGGACCCCGAGCTTGAGGTTAGGATGGACTACATAGTGAGTCCCTATCTCAAAAAATTGGTATTAAAAAGAGATGGGAGGGAGGGAGGGGAGGAAGGAGGGAGGGAGAGGAAGGAAGAAAGGAAGGAAGAGAGGGAAGGAGGCAGAGGGGAAGAGGCAGGAAGAACATGGGCAGTTCCAGAGAGGGAACTAGGAATGAGGATGAATAAAAGCGTCAGCTGGGGTGGGATACAGACAGTGCATACTAATCCAGACAGTATTTTCATCCATCCAATTGGTGAAAACGTTAAAACTGGAGACGTTCTGGCAGGAGACTGAACTGGGCACTTTGGAGAACACTGTAGTCGTTTTTTTATCTGAATTCAGGCCATGTCTACCCTGTGACCCAACGGTTCCAGGTACTTGTCCTACAGAAATCCTTGTATGTGAGCAAAAGGTGACCAGCACAAAGAAGACACCAAAGGCATCTTAATCATCAGTCGACAGGACACAACTGAGACAGGAGGCAGGATGGCTGTGTGCAGCCAGCCGAGGGGAGCACTGGAATGGACGGAGATGCAGACAGCCACTCGAGGTGAGTCCTGTAGGCCACAGGGCTCAGTGGCACCTCCAGTGTGAACACCACCTACCTATGCAGACAGACAAGACAAAAGGAGAGACATGTTGGAAAGGGCACAGGCAGACACTAGACAACAGGGGCAGTTAGGCCAGCTCCCGCCCACTGAGGGTCCAAGGAACCAAGGCAAAGGCCCAGGGCTAAGTAGGGATGCTCCTGCTGTACTGTGGACTGTAATGAAGAGAAAATGTATTCGTGTTGTACTTGTATAAGTGAAATTTAATTCAAGCATTCAAACACATTCCTTGCCAATTAGCTCAGATTTGCACAGGTCCTGTGTTCTCACTTGTCTGTCCAGGGACAAAGCACGTTTGCTCAGTGTGTGTCTGTGAATGCAGCACAGTGATAAGCAAATTGATTAAAATGTGGAAAGTGAAATGAAAAACTGGGAAAGTTTTTCTATTCACAAAAGCAACAAAACTAATAAGGTGTTCAGGGATCAAGTCATTAAGAAATGTGGAGAATGCCTGCGACCTGCGGGGCCAGCTTTTATTAGAAGGCACTAAAAGCGAAGCAAACCCAAACCAAACAAGGGAGACTGACCACAGGAGACGGGCACCGTGGTCGTTGATGGGAGACGCTGATGGCATCCTAATGATGTTATTTTTTCCTCCAATGCAGTCTCTCTTAATAAGATTTTTTCTCCCATGGAACTTTGACAAGCTAATTATAAGATATACAAAAGTAAAACAGCAATATAACAAGGTAATTTTTTTTTTTTAAAGAATAGAGGGCAGAGTAAGGGTACTTACCGTATCAGGTATTAAGACACTATTTAAAACTTTGCTCATTAAAAATACAGCCTTGGCTCACAAAAACAGAGATCAGCAGCATGAAGGTAGGAGACACAGGATCTGGGAGGAAAGAGGGGGTGGGGCTGTGAGAGGCACTCAGCAGGTGTGCTGTCTGTCAAACCCCATCTCATATCACACACAAAATGTGCCTCAGATGGAGTAAGTCCATCAGAGTGTGCACAAATCCATAGCAAATACCAGAGTTTGGATACAAATACAGACTGTGCCACAGGGCGAGGGTCTGTCTCCAGACCACACCAGCGCAGTAGGACGGGACACTGATGGGGGTCAGTTTCAGAGAGGGCAAGCTCTCCAGGAAGACCAGCTTGGGCCTGCTGGACTGCCCCCCCCCCCCTGGCCCCCCCCCCCCCGCCCCGCTGGTTTCTTTCCTCTCTCCTGTCTCTGTCTGTAGTCGTTTCATCACTCCTGTGGTGTTGGTACAATCAGCTGTATCTTCTCTGGCTTCCATTCCCTCCTGGAGGGAACACAGAGCACTGTATCTTGTGAGAGAGGTGATGCTCGTGTGAGCCTAGAAGTCAGGGATGCATGCGACAGTCTCCATTTCACCCGTGCATGCCTCCCCAGACTTATCTTCTCCAATTCCTGTTTCTAGAGCTGCAACTGTCATACTTTTTGGTAGGAGCAAGAACACATGTTGACTTTTGGAATTCTAGTCTAAGGCAGAAGATTCTGGCTTGGTACTTAAAGAGTTCACTGATTACTGCACACAGAATATTAAGTCATGATCCCAGCTACAAATCAGGATCCAACTGGTGCTAATTAGATATACATGCAGGACACAGGGCAGATAAAAGCTCCCAAAGAACATGGGATCATGTTGCTCTCTAAAAGGTAAATAATTGAGTTTTGCCCACGTTTGGTCATAATGCACATTATTGCCCCAAACTAATTTATCTTCCTCTGCACTTGACCCCAGCCCTGTTGGGAGTTATTTCAAATAACTGCCTCCATTCATAATTGCTCAATTACACTGGCTCCACAGCCCAGGATATCCATGTACCAGCATTGCTCTTTCCCTCAAGATTAAGATGAAAAAGGCCAGGCCCTGTATCTCCTTAGCTCCTCCCTGACTATCTGTCTCTCTGGAGTCTGCTTCTGTCCATCCAGGAGTAAGCCTCTGGCAAAGGGTTCAGCTCTGCCCAGAATCCTTTCTACTGGATTTCCCATCCAGATCTGGAGCATGCTTCTGTGAGAGCCCCCATCAGTGTGGGACACCGTACACTGATGTGCATGACTGCTTCTTCCTCCTCTGTCACTACACAGCCCTACCAACTGCCTGGCTTCCCCCGAAGAACCCCAGACTAGGCACAGTGAAGGGATGGCATAAACTGTGTTAGTGAACGACGTGTCTCATCACAGTTGGGAGCTCATGTCCATGAACATGCTCGTCTTTCCTAGCCCCACCCTCTGCACGTCCATCTTTTACGTCTCCAAGTTCTCCTTCTTGATTCTGTAAAGGGTTCGTGACAGTCTCGTGTCTCCCTTGCATGTTGACATATCCCTTTATGTTCCTGAAACTTCCCACAAATGCTCTTTTAAAGCCACTACAAGTATGCTAATTCTGAAATGCAAAGAGAAAATTCCTGTCTTGATCTGACTGAAATTCACTGCCACATGTGACAATGTTGATTACTTTCTCCTTGAATCCCTGCACTACCTTGGTTGCCATGGCAACAGCCTCTCCAAGTTGTTTGTTGCATCTCTCAGGTCCTTCCCTTTCTGCCACCTTGATCAGCTTCTTGTACATCTCTAATTTCTGGTCTTTACCTGGGCCCTCTGACATCTCCACATGGTCTTTAGGAAGTCACTTCCTTTGGGTCTCCACTATTGAGTGGCAATGGCTCCAGGACAGCTTGGCTTTCTTCAGCCTTCTACTTGGGATTCAGGTATCTGCCAGGCCTACCTGTCTATGTCTCCAATACCTTAGCTATATATGAGCCACTTTCCAATGTCTCCGACTAACTCATAGTACTGTGTTCCTCAATCCAGCAGCCTGCCAACCATCAGGGCTGTACTCAGGATGTCTGGGCACTCATGGCCTGCCCTTTTAAGTATGTGTGCATGAGCATGCAAGTGCATTTCAGTGCATGTGTGTGTGTGTGTGTGTGTGTGTGTGTGTGTGTGTGTGTGAATGTAGGAGCCTGCAGAGGCCAGAAGACTCAGCATGACATAAGTACTGGGAACCTACTTGGGTACTCTGCAAGAGCAGTGTGAACGCTTGACTAGGGGTCTCCAGCCTGAGCCTGACCTCTTAACAGCCACCCGTTCTAAGTCCTTCTGTCTTCCATTTCCCATGAAGTCCTGATTCATTCCTCTCCAAGCCTACTGGTCTAGTTGAGAGCTGTCTCATACATCCCCAGCCTCTGGACAGACCATCTGTTAACGGAGATCAGGGCTTTCTAGACTTCTTCACTTCCCATACGGCTCTATAAGCCTACCATATTTCCTAGTGTGGAATCTCACCTAGCTGAGGTAGAACCTGGGCTGCTATACCATGCAGAAGACACACTAGCTATACCACAAAGCATAGTCATGGCTCAAGCAGCTGAGCAATGGCTCGGTTGACCTTGACTTCTGGTACAAGTATGAAATAAATAGCTGGAATTCAGTCTACACGGCCTAGGAGAGAGCAAAGAATCAAGACTATGGCATCACTACCATCCGCTCTACTTCTTACCACTATCCTTTTGCTTTGCTTCCCTGGGTCTTAGTTTCCTTCCCTGTGATACAGGCCAGTGCTAGCTGGCTGCCTCATTGCATGCGGGTGGAGGGGCTGTCATGATCAGACAAGACAGTGGCCATGACCATGTAACATATACTATGAGGACCAAGTCCACACTGAGGCTAGGGAGAACCCCTAAGATCCAGATAGTACAACCACTACGTATATGTCACTTGTTGAGTCCATGGATAAGACAACAGAAATCTTTTGGACAAAATGAATGTATCTAAATCTCCATTTCAGATACTGAAGTAAAGACAATGAATATTCTGCCCCTCCATCGACAGCTGCCTGTTGCTAGGTGTCTAGAACAACAAAGAATGCTAAGCCATGACCCCAGCCACCAGGCAAGATGAAGCCACTGCTCATTAGAGCTGAAGTCAGGATAGCAGGGCAGATGAAGGCTCCCTGAGAACATGGAGATCAGGTTCCTCAAATAAGGAACATGATTCAATTTTGCATCTTCCATCAACACAACTAATCCCTTCACCTCAGCACTTAATCCCACTGCTCTGGGGCCCCATGCTGTCTGTCTTCACTCTGCAAGTCTGGCTGGCCCAGCCTTCCCCTGTCCTGATGCTGAGCACTGGTGCTTTCCCAGCTCTGTAGCCCTCCAGCCCTCTCCATCCAGCCAGATTAGAGGTCAATTGTCCCCATCTGGGGTCTTCTGTCCTGACCTTAGAGCTGTGTAGCAACCGCTTTGCTGGGTTCTGCAACAAAAGTGCTTTGGTTGTTGCTTCCAATGGTACAACTTCTTCTCAGGTGTCCTGCTGTATCTGCCCTTAGAATGCCAGTCACAGATCAGTTTTGAGTCAGGTTCCTGAGAGTCTGTCTGCACATTTGTGCTGGTACATGTATGTATATAGCAGATGCTTATGTGTTTGTGTGTGTACACATGCATGTGTATATCAAGCCACAGGTAGGAGTCAGGTGTCTTCATTACCCTCCACTTTATTTTCTGAAGTGGGATCTTTCCTTGGAGCTAAATTTGTTATCCAGTGTGTGCTGTCAGTCTCCATGCTCATCTAGTATACAGGGCTGGGGATTGAACTCAGGTCCTAATGCCTGCATAGCAAGCATATCAACCTTAGCTGTGTGCTCTGAGGTGAGTTTAGAATAGAGCTTTCCTTCTAGTGAACAGAAGATCAACAATCTGCACCTTGGCTTTGGACAAGCCCTCTCCTGTTCCAGGTCCAAGTCTCTGGTTGATGATGACACCTGAAGTTATGTCCTCAAAGAATGTGCCACCTGCACAGAGAACCAAAAGGCCACGGGAAGGTCTGACTGGCAACAGTGACAACAAACACTGGGCAGCATTTCAAGGTGAAAGAGTGTGGAGAAATGGCTCACCTACTTAGCCAATGTGAATGGATCCATCTAGTTGGCATCCATCAATCTGCAGGCATCCAATCCTGCAAGGAAACATTACTCAAGCGCCATAAGAGTCCATTCCCACCCTCTCCCTCACCTGTACCGACCTACCTGCATGGTCTGTCTGCCAAGACATTTCACCACAAGCAGCAACAAAGTCTCAGCCAGCAGTTCCTGGCAAGCTCAGCTTTTGGGGGCTGCAGTCACGGTGATCCTTCCAAGCTCCGGAATGTGGAGCTGACGAATGGAGTCTGATCCGCACCCCAATCAGCACTGCCACAGCCATGGGGTGTCTGAAGATGTGATGCTAGCACTGAGAAGGAACTCAGGGATAATCTAGTTTAACTGCTTCCTCCTATAGATTGGAAGGCAGGCCTGATGAGTGGAGATAATTCCCAGCAAGTAAGTGGAGAAGCATCCTAACTGGGAAAATCAGGATGGGGCCCTGCCTATCTAACTGACTGAAAGCTGTGCAGGGGCTGGATCAAAGGCTCAGCACTTAAGAGCAGTGGCTGACTTTGCAGAGGACCTGGGATTTTAGTTCCTGAGACCCACATAACAGCTCTAGGGGATCCAATGCTGTCTTCTGGCCTCTATAGGCACCAGGTACCCACATGGTACATTTGTATACATGCAGGCAAAACAATTATAAAATAAACAAAGTTTCAAAACAAAACAAAGAAAAAATAGTGAGGAGCTATGGGTTGTAAGGCTCAGGTAGTAGCAAATGTTATCTATCCAGGGAAGGAGGCCATGCATTATTTGAAAGGGGCGCTACAATCAGAATGGACAGGCTATAGTGCCAGATTGTGCTGGAGGTCCTCTATGTGATGTCTGGATGATTGAGACTCATTAGGGGATCCCCGAATCTTAAGACCCACAAGTGCATACAATCCTCAAACACCAGGCGGAACTGTGACCAAAGGAGGGCTGCTTTTCTAGTCTTGATCACTGTAGGCTATCAATTCTGAATGACCCAGGCAGCCCCATGAGCTGACCAATGGATGAGAGAGACCCTGGTTCCCATCCATTTTCATGACCTTAACACTGACAGTTTCAATTGATTGCTCTACTATTTATTTATTTATTTATTTATTTATTTATTTATTTTCCAATCTACTTTTATACCATTTTAATTACATGCAAGTATTAAGGTCAGTTCTAGGTTGAGGAACTAGCAGTACAATAAATGCAAGTAGTCAAGGAACAAGCAAGAGAATAAAAACATATAGTCAAAGAACAAGCAAAGCAATAAACAAAGTCCTGTGATCAATCAAGTGATCACAGTTTCTAAGGGCTTATCAGGATCACCAAAATATCTGAGCCTATTCACTGCCCTAGCCCAAAGTCATTTTCATGCCTGAAGCCTACTTCTTTGTTCTAGCCTAAGATTTAGATTCCTGCCTGAAATTACTTTTTTGTTGTAGCCTAATGTCAGATTCCTGCCAAGCAGCCTATTTCCTTGTCCTTGGCCAATGTCAAATTCCTGCCAAGCTGCTCCAAAAGCTCTCCACCTCTCCCTGCTTTTTATTTCATAAACAAGACTGAGCCTGTGTTAGGTCATTCTGACAAGAATGCCTTCCTTACCCATTATGGAATATGTATCATCCAAAGCAATGAACATATGGCTTAGGTTGGTAAGGCTCTGTGCAGAATCTTACCCGTCTTTGGCTTGCCAACCTGTTAAATTAATACCTCTGTCTGGGGGTCTATTTTCAGTTTCAAGCCATGTACTTTGGCTACCAACATGCTGATGTTGTTAAAGACAAACTTTAACATGATGGCCAAGAATAAAAGTATTGTCAGAACAAAAAGGGCTAGCGTTATCAAGCTATATATGTCATTCCTAAAGCTTGACCAAAATGGCAATACTGACCTCAGGCCATGTATAATTTTATCAGCAGTATCTGCAGCATCAAATCTCAGCAGAGCAACATTCTTTAAACCCATAATCTCACTATGCAAAGTTAAAACATCCAGAGAGGTGTTAGCATTATGCCAAATACCCTGCAAGTGTCTTTAAACCTTTTCCTAATTATGACTATCATTGTTAATTTTAGAAGTAATACAAATCCTTTGGCATTTGGCATGACACTCGAGATGACTCCTTACTCTTAAACTCTGAACTTTCTTTCAATAATCTGAATAGGATAAAGAGCATCAATCCAATGTTCCAAATGCCTATCTAAATCCTCTTGTATACTCAACACATTAGTAAAAAAAAATATTTTTTTTGCTAAATGATTAAAAAAAGTAACTGTCTTTATTTCTTATGTCAAAGCTATTGGAGAAGCAGTGATGCTAGCAATTAATGCTAATTAAAGCTGTTATACCAGCAATAATCAACCTACTACCCTCTTGCTTCTGCTTAAATCCTGACTAATTTCTTCTAGTACTTGCAAGCTTTTTCAGAACACCAAGGTCCTGTAATACTCAGGACAATAAAATAAAAGCTGGTTAATAGACCCTCATAACAGATATGCCAGGTTTCAACACACTAACACAATTAGAAAGTGTACAATCAATGTAACTTACAGTAAATACTATAGAATAGACAAAAGTAATTTTAACTTGACAATTAAAAGAGCCTTATTACACGCACTAACACTTGTTTGAAATCCAGATACTGTCTCAACTTTATCTCTTGCTGACATAACATCATAGAGAACTTCAGCTGACTTCCAAATATGTCTCTGAAAATGTCCAGAACCAACCTTTCACATGAGAACTGTTATTTCCAATATTCGATTGATTTCTAGACTAGCCCATGATTGAATCTGAATAACTGGTCACATTTAGAAACAATAAAAGGATCTCTTTTTGATTCTCTGTCCCACAAGGTCAAAAAACTTGAGGCCAGGTAGCCTGTCCTATCTGGAATATGGGCAAGCAAAGGTGGGTCAGGAGCATATGTCCAATACAGTTTCCCAGTCACCATTGTCAGGGCACTCAGCAAGCTCACAGGTCGGCATCATTCTTTGTCCCAGCATCAGCATGTCTCACCAATCACTCTGGCAGCTACCATGCTCCTTCAGCATCCTGCAGAAAAAACACAAACGTGCTCTCTTCCCCATATTAAATACCTATGATCCTGGGCATGTTAGAGCTCCTGGGAGTCCAGTCTCCTCTGCATGTTGTGGAGCTGGGTGCAGAGCTGGCACCCAAGGTCTGCTCAGGGCACTGGCACAAACCAGAAGGGCCTGCATAAAATTGAACTGCTCTGAGTACAGTGGATCCTCTAGGATGGGTCAGGAGATGGTGTCTTCTTGGGAGCAGACTGTTGAGGGAGATATTTAAAATGGATGGCATGCAAATCTGGCTTGTTCTTAATCAGCTGCCATCTTCCCAACTAGACAAGGCCTGTGGCCATGAGCTGTGGCAGGAACAAGCCGCTGCTTGGCTCAGGCGGACAGCTCAGGTGGCCAGAGACACTGGCCCTGCCACCCATGAGATGCTAGCATGGGAGATGGCTCTGCCAACCTTCCACGATGTCTCCACAAGATTGTGCTGTGCCCAGACCATCCTGCCATCCACGTGGTACCTGGTAGAATGAGACTCTAATGTTCAAAAGATTATCCAAAGGCTTTATATATTTGGTAATGCTCAAATAACAGGATGCCCAATTAACCAATTAACTAACCTAAATATAAGTTGTTACCTAGGGCTGCTCCCGATACATCGCTCCTACATCTCTGTCTCGTCCACTCCTCCTCTTCCTTTCCTTACTCCTCCCACCTTAGCTCCTCCCAACTTGTGGGGAAAATATGCCACTACATATCATCCTTCCTATTAAAATTAAAAAAAAAACTTTCTCTCAAAATACAATTAGAGCACAACTGTATCAATTTGTATCAGTAAGGTACGAGATAGACCTAATACGCAGTCCATCATTTTGCTCAAAGTAAATAGCCTGGGTTGGCTATGAGACTATAAGTCTTCAACTCTATCAGAAATCCAGAATGACTGAATTAACTGAAGATATGGGAAGCACAAAGCATAGCTTCCAAAACTTAGCCAATTTATAGAGACTGCTGAATGCCTGGACAGTCCCTACACTTGAAAACATTGGAGCATCCAATCTTCAGCCTTCTGGCCCAGGATCATCTGACAGACCCAGTAATGCTGAATTTTTAAGGGTTGATCACTCTGCCTTGGCAGATATAATCAGTTGACCATTCTGCAAGTGTGTCTTTTTTCTGAACAGTAATTTGTCTGTAGATGAAAAGAGGCAATTCTTGCCTAGTGGCTCTCTCACCACAACTGGAGTAACTCCAAAGATGCCCAATTTCTTCTTAGAATCCAAGACAGGGAAGCTGCCAGGAGCAGACAGGTCTCTAATCAAATGAACATTAATATAGGAATGTTTGTAGCATCAATTCTGTGGATTTCTGACATTTTTGAAAACCAACTATCTATGTAAAGCAATCTGGACTACAGTCCATTAACTACTTTCAGCTATGTCTAATTAAAATCTAGAAAACACTCTAAAAGCAAACTCAGAGCCATGAATTTGCTATAGGCCCTTAACTCACAGGCCAACCATATCAGATCAGTTAAAAAAATTAAAGAAGGATTGGGTCTGAGCTTTGTATCCACTAGTTTTGACTTAATAGAAGAAAATATACCAATGAAACTCTTGAATTTGAAGTCAAAATAAATTTTGTACCATTTAAGAAATTATAACTTCAGCTTAATAACAATTATACAGTTTTCTACCAAATAGGTTATGGCTATGTAATTCTAACTATTCCTCCCTGTTCTAATAAAAATCATTACTTTTCCCTAGAAGGATAGCCTAATATTAACCACCTCAGTCCCCAAGGTCAGGGAATAGGGGTGCTGACTCTTTATTAACTTCTTCAAGCTGAATTTGGGCGTTGAGATATTAGAAGAGGAGGGGGGAGGGTAAATTGATAAGCCTCTGATGACTGTGTCTTCACTGCATCCAGCTGAAATTCCAGGACATCAGAGGTTTGAGCAGGTCTGCTCAACTTGCTTGATCAGTAGATACACCAACGCTGTGCATTCTGCAATATACAATTCTCAAAACAAATTTTAATATC